TAGACATAATTCAGCCTATGGCTGCTATGCTTTTAGTCAATAGAACTATCTATCTAGTAAGTATGATATGCTGTAAAGCAACACATATGTCCTTGGCTCCCTCTGTGGGGGCCAAGGACATACTCCCTTGCGATGTGGTTTCCAGCATTCTAGGCCATACTTGGGTAACTTTTTTTAAAGTCAGACATTGAAGTTACAATTAGTTCAAAAATATGTAAGTTCTGTCTTTGATCATAGTTCAAAAAGTAACAGACACAAAATGATCCGACAGCCGGAGGGTTTGCGTCGCATACCAGCTTCTAATGACAACCCTCGATTACTTGCAAGCTGCGTTAATGCTCTGGGAGTGAGTTAAGTTTACTAAATTTCATGTTTTCAGAAAGAAAATTAATACGAACGAAGAAAGCTACGTCTCTAACACTAAAAAGCCTGATTACCATTTCACTAATAACAAAGGTATCAAGTAAGCACAGTCTGCTGACAAATCGAATCCCTGGTGATGGATGAAATCTTTTAGGAAAACTCGTCGAGAAATAACAGCACATGAATCTGTATTGAGAGAAACTGTTCGCTTAAAATTCAGTCTTGCAAGACTTTTGAATATTTTATGCTGCACTTGAACGAGAAAATTTATATTTTATAGTTTAACTCTATGTACAGGCTACAAATTTTGAGATAAGGAATTGTTCCTAGTGCAAATATACTCGTGCTTACCGTCATCCATCTTGAATTTTCTTGTTCTTCCGTAAGAACCGCTGTTTAGGTTGATTATTTTACTAGTGGCTGAGCCTGCAAGTAAGACCAGCGGGTAACGCGGTCGGGAAGAAGCGAAGTAATTGATTTAATTGTACCGGGAGGGAGCCTCTGGAGACGTGAAAGGGAGGGTCGTAGAATGCTCTTTGTTTGCAACAACGAAAAAAACAATGCCAACGGAAAAAAAAAAAACGCCCAGTAGTTCTCTATCTTATCCATTCAAAACTTACCACAAACGTTTCCTATTCGCGGAGCGCTCCTCCTGCGGAACCAGCTCTGTCGACCGTGACTTACTAATCTGATATGCAAATTACAAGAAGACTTCAGAAGTCGCGTAAACTTGCTTTAAAACCTCTAAACAACTTCAAATAACATGGAGGGAAAAGTGATGTATTTCGCTCACGGCTCAAATTTGAGCCCAAGATTAATGGTAGAACGCGGTGCGGAGTTCTACTCACGCGAGGGCGCTGTGCTTCCAGGATTTCGGCTTGAATTCAACTTTAGTTGGAAGGACGACGGATATGGTAACACAACCATTGTCCAAGACGAAGACTCAGTCGTATATGGAGCTTTGTACTCCTGTGATGAACAAGGCATAGCTAACATGGACGAAGCCGAAGGCGAAAAATTGAGGAGAATAAATGTCCATGTCAAGAAAGAAAGCGGTGAAATGATACTAGCAACTACGTATCAGGGAAAGGAAGAATTCACAAAAACAGGGCTTCGTCCGAGTGAGACTTATCTGAATGAAATGTTGGAGGGAGAGGATATTCTACCAGAGGGATACGCTGATTATTTGAAAACTTTGAAGAAAGAAGTAACTCAGTTGAATTGAATATTACGATCAATTAAATTGAACAGCCATTGAAATAAAGTTGATTCATGTATTTTTCCTTA